AATATATGACAGAGTCACAGAAAATTTATTCAGTTTGGGTCCAAATGAGCGTCTTTAAAAAGTCCACCCGCAATATAATTCTACCTAAGCTTCACAAAGTGGTGCAGGCACATGGGGTTTCCTACCCCAGCTCTCATGGTCACTTGCTATTTGAAAGCAGTGACCAAGGCCAGACTCTGAGTCTCTGAAGATGCGTGTGTGAGCTGGTGGAAGAGGTCACATTTGGACCACCTCTGGTTCGGCCACAGTCTGTTCGGCTTGGGGCTGCCTCACACAGCACAGAAGATGGGAGATGTTACATCATATGGACACTTCCCTGCAGGACTGCACACATCAGGCTAAACTTCAGAAAAAGAGACTAGCAGGCGGGCGCGGTGGTGCACACCTGTAATCCCAGCGGCTCAGGGGGCAAAACCAGCCTCAGCAAAAGCAAGGTGCTAAGCAACTCAGGGAGACCCTGTCTCTCAACAAAATACATAATAGGGCTGGGGATGGGGCTCAGTGGCCCTGAATTCAATCCCTGGTACAAAGGTTGGGCCGGGTGGGGCTCAATGGTGGCACCTGCCCACTGTGTGTTCAGCTGGGGGTTTGCTCCCCAGCACCTTCCCTGCTTTTCCTGCCCTCTCAGTTGGGTGTACCTGACTTAGAACCTACATCCTGCTGACTCTAGTGTTCAAGGAAGACTCAATATCACACCATTCCTAGACAAAACTATAATTTTTCATCTGTTGTTCAAACCAAAACACAGCAATCTGATTCTAGTTTGGAAAAAACCTGGCTGTATAGAGGGATGTTTTCCAGAGTAGCTTACAGAATGGCCCCAAGAATGTGGCACTTGAACCAGTGAGGTGAGGGAGACATGGTCAAGGAGCAGCTACAGTGTTCCGGCAACTGTCCTGGGGAGCTGGGTCTTAGTGAAGGCTGAAGAACCCTGGAATTGATGATTGTGCAACATGACTTTGAAGGTTACAAGCTTCAGTGGCAGAGCTTTGAGAAAAAGACATCGTCTCTACAAAGTCAACGTTCATTGACACAAAAGGACACCTTTTTCATTATAAGTGATTTAAACCCTGCTAATGTTGATTTAACAGTTTTGGGAATGGCTTCAACCTTAAAGAAGTTGGAAGCCAAGTGGGGTGGTGTAAACCTGTAATCTCAGAGACACGGGAGGTTGGGGAAGGGGAATTGCAAGTTCTAGACCAGCCTCAGCAACTTAGGGAGACTCTCAGCAACTCAGTGAGATCCTGTCTTAAAATTAAAAAGAGCTGGGGGATTGTGGATGTAGCTCAGTTGGTAGAGTGCTTGCCTCACAGGCACAAGGCCTTGGGTTCAATCCCCAGCACCCCCCTCAAAAAAAAGGACTGGGGACGTGGCTCAGTGATTAAAGTGCCTCTAGATTCAATCCCCAGTACCAAAAAATACATAAATAAACTGCATAAATAAATAAAGAAGAAGTTGGAGCTGTTTATGAAGACGCAGAAAAATTCCACTCTGAACAGTTAAGCAAAGTATTCATGGAAGAAAGAGACTATCTTCTAAGCAAGTTTTCTTTTCTTTTCTTTTTTTTTTTAAAGAGAGAGTGAGAGAGGAGAGAGAGAGAGAGAGAGAGAGAGAGAGAGAGAGAGAGAGAGAATTTTTAATATTTATTTTTTAGTTCTCRGCRGACACARCATCTTTGTTGGTATGTGGTGCTGAGGATCGAACCCGGGCCGCACGCATGCCAGGTGAGCGTGCTACTGCTTGAGCCACATCCCCAGCCCCTAAGCAAGTTTTCATGACAAAGGTCATCTTAACTAAATGGACTTCTGACTCACTAACTTTCCACACACTCCCAAATGCTACTCTGTAACTCCATCATCTCCTGTGAACTCTCCTTTCACTTGACCTCAACCTGAAGGCACCAATCCAGAAATGATCCTCTCTGTAAAATATACACACTGACATCCGAAAGGGCTGAATGTTTGCATCCAGTAAGCTGGGTGCTCTAACAAATGGAGCTGTGGACTTCTCAAAAGTTATGTTTTTCCTAGATATGTCAGCTGCATGTAGTACAGTAGCTGCTCCCTTTTTGGAGGCTCCCTTAAAATGTTCATGGTTTCGAGTAGCTTGAATACTATCTAGTTCCAACACACCCGGACATAACCGTGTCTTTGTTCAGTGTATCCACCTTGTATATGCTACCTGCCCTCTGGTCAGCAGTTGTCTCAGTTATTAGATATTTTGTTGGGAGTCATGGTTTCTCAATAGGCACATTCAAGTAACTCTTATTTCACTTTTTTTTCCCCCCTTCAGTACTGAGGATTAAGTACTTTTGTATAGGGCTTTGAGCTTGTTAGGCAAGTTCTCTACTATTGAGCTATATACATTCCCAGCATTTTTCCTTTTATTTTGGGACAGGGACTTTTTTGTGTGTGTGTTTGTGTTTTGTGTGTGTGKGGGGGTTACCAGGGATTGAATTCAGGGGCGCTCCACCACTGGGTCACGTCCTCAGCCCATTTATGCATTTTATTTAGAGACAGGGTCTCACTGAGTTGCTTAGTGCTTCTCATTGCTAAGGCTGCCTTAGAACTCYTGATCCTCATCTCAGCCTCCCCAATTGCTGGGATTACAGGCCTGCGCCACTTCGCTGGGCTGGGACAGGGTCTCCCTAAGAGGCCAAGCTTGCCCTTGAACTTGCAATCTTCCTGTCTCAGTCACCCAAGTGGTTGGAATYACAGAGATAAGCAAATGCACTAGGCCTTATTTTACTTTTAACAATGGCGCCCAAGCTCAAGAGCTCTCAAGCCGGTAATGTGGATGCACCCAAGAGGAGCCGAAAAGTGCTGCCGCTGAGCGAAAAGGTGAARGTTCTGGACTTGGTCAGGAAGGAGCAGAAGTCCTACGCGGAGGTGGCCAAGATCTTCGGTAAGAACGAATCCTCCATCCGGGAAATCGTGAAGAAGGAGAAGGAGATCCGGGCCAGCTTCGCCGTGGCCCCCCAGAACGCCAAGGTCACGGCCACCGTGCGGGACAAGTGCTTGGTGAAGATGGAGAAGGCGCTGAGCCTGTGGGTGGAGGACATGAACAGCCGGCGCGTGGCTGTGGACGGCAGCGCCCTGCGCCAGAAGGCGCTGAGCCTGTACCAGGACCTGAGCCAGGCGTCCCCCCAGAGGCGCGACGGCAGGCTGGAGAGGAGGCCGTTCACGGCCAGCAAGGGCTGGCTGCACAGGTTCAGGAACAGGTTCGGACTGAAAGGCCCAAAGGGTGTGTCTGCCCAGGAGCAAGCTGCTGGCCTATTCCCTGCAGAGGGGGAAAAGTTGGTTAAGGATAGAGGATGCCACCCAAAGCCAGTCTCCCGCTGTGATGAGAGCAGGCAGAAGAAGGGTGAGTACAGTGCCCCAGGTGTGCTGAGAGGAGTGGCGGTCCAGATGGCTGCTTGCTGTGGACTGACCGGGTTAGCCTCCTGCTGTGCCCAGTTCCTGCCTCAAGTAGGTTTGCTGAGTAGGAGGAATCAGGGGGGCTTGGTACCCGGGGAAGGCAGATGCAGGCCTCTCTGGGGGTCCTGGCGCGCACCCCTGTTGATAAGGGCGACTCTTGTAATGCAAATATGGGATTGAACTAAATATGACAGAATGCATGTGAAGTCTGAGTGCAAAAGTAAAGTTCTTTTTATGAAAACTTGTAGAAAGGCTCCGAATGGAGTAACAAAATTTTACTCACGAATGAATTAGGCAAGGTCAAAATGACTGTGATTGCGAGGGCGGGGGTCCTAAGCATGTAGATAGCCTCTGCTATCCCAGGGATCTTTAAATTCTTCATATTTCAAAGAAATCCAACATGGAGATCCGGAGGTGGCTTCCTGGGTGCGGTCCATGCAAGAGTGGAAAAGGGAACGGCAATCCGCGGACCCAGATCCAAAGGCAGGGTTTGGACCGACATCAAAAGACTGGCTGCTCGGAAAGTTTTCCAGAGAGCCAGCGACAAAGAGGCTGGAAGGCTGGCCGGAGCCTCTGGTCGCCCCCTACCGAGGAGCGGGCTGGAGGGCGGCGGGCGCGTGGGGGGCGCGGAAACACCCCGAGAATCGCTGCATCTAGCGCTGTCCGCGACCGTCTAGTCTTCCAACTYGAGCCAGTTTGTTGTTTAACTTTGGAGTGTAACTTGGGTGAACAGTAAGATCTCACATTTTGAAAATATGCTGAATTCAGAAAAGTTGAGAAACAAAAAATAATGGGGAGGGGGGCGTGGATCATGAGATTTGAGTTAATTTGCTTTGCTGCTGACCGAACAAACGGGGCCCCAGAGTCAGGTTTTCCGCTCCCACTCTGGCTTTTCGACTTTCCTTCCAAACGCTGAGCTATGCAGAGGAAAGGGATGGGGAGGGGGCAGCTAGAAACTCGAACAGTGTTTTCCCCTCGCCTGCCCCAAGTTGGGGCAAGTCATTCTTAGCCGCCTTTGAGGCAAGTTTTGAAAAACCCTAACAGGACTCCTTTGTGTCCCGGAGGGTGGTGCAGGGCGGAGGGGCTCCCTTGGCGGAGCGGAGAGGGCGCAGGCCATCCCGGGCTCCCCGGCCTATTCCGCGTGCCGGGCTTGCAATCTGCAGGGAATCGCAGTGCAAGAATGAGGTTGGAGCCTTGCTCGGCTGCGGAGGACGGTTGGGGCGCGGCTGTGCGGACGCCCTGGCCACGGCCGGTCTACATTTCTGTTCCTTCGCCCTAGCTCCCCTCCCCCACCCGGGCAGCCGCGCAGGCCCCAGGTGCAGCCATGTTCTTGCTCCCACCACCCGCGCCTCCATTGACAGCCCTTGCCGGAGAGGGCCGGGCACCGCGGCGCTCGCCTCGTCCTCGGGTTCGGGGCTCCCCTCCGCGGAACCTTCTGGGAGTTGTAGTCCACAAAGCCCGCCGCCGCGTTGGCGGGGGCCAATCAGGAACTACAATTCCCGCTCGGCTGTGCTGCGGATGCGCACGCGCAGGGAGCATTCGAGGAACAAAAAAAAAAAAAAAAAAAAAAAAGGAGGAGGAGGAGGAGGGTGAGAGAGAAGCTCGGAGAGCAGAGAAAAGGGGCCACCCGGTCGCCCCCCCCCCGCTTCCCCGCACGCGCTCTCCAGCCGGGCCGCCCTCCTGCAGCAGTTACCCCGGCCTTTCCCCTCTGTCCCCCGAGAGCGGAACGAGGCGCTGAGTGAGGCCCTGCCGGGGCGGCCATGCGGCGGTGACAGGAGCGCGGCCGAGACGCACTGGCCCCTCGCCCTCACCTCCCGCCCGCTCACAGCTCCCTCAGCCGAGGCTGCTCCGCGGCGGCCTCAGCGCGCGCGGCCCCCACTCGCGCCCTTCGTACTCCGGCCCCGCGCTGCCCGGAGGCGGCTGCACTCGGGTGAGTCCCCTCGCCGCACGCCTGGACCCCCGCCCCCGCCTCGGGTGCCATGGCGAGCAGGGCCTTTATTCGAGACTTTGCCCCGTTGGGGCCTGCGACTGGGGCGCCGGGGGCGTGCGGCCCGACGGCCTTCGGGGCGCACGGCCGCCCCCCAGCGCGGCGGACCCGGGCCGGACGGCCTCGGTGGCCGTGCGGCGGGGCGTGGGGGTGGGGCGGCCGCGGTCGCGGGGGACGGCGGTTGCACGCGCGCGCCGGGCCGCCGTGGGGGATGGGCGCGCGCCCGCCGGCGTGGGGGGGCGCCTCGCGCGTGCGGCCCCGCGCGTGAGCGAGCGCGCGGGCCTCACAGCGCTGATTGGCCCGCCGGCGGTGCGGGGGCGCGCGCGGTGCCAGGCCCGAGCCGTGGGGTCGCGCCCGTCGGGTGTCTCTGGGGCTCCTGCGCCGGGGCAGCAGACGCGGGGGATTGGCCGGCGGGCGCKGGGGCGGCGCCGCGCTGCCTAGCAACTGCAGCGGGGTCGGGCGCCGCGGGCGGGTTCCCGAGCGGTGGCCCAGCGCGCCGCGCCCCGCCCCGCTCCCAGGTGCAGCCCGCAGTGGGCTTTGTCCCGGGCCGGCCGGGCGCGGCGCCCCGGAGGACCCGTCGGATTTTGGGGGGTGGTGGAAATACACACAATGACCGGAAGGAAGACCGCGGCCGAAAGGCCCTGAGCATAAGGCCGCTTGGCTCCGCCAGCACCCGGACGGCGGGGTGCAGAGCGCCTGGCGGAGGAGGAGCGCGGTGCCCTCTGGTCCCTGCACTTTTCTTTGGGAAGTTCTGCCTTTTCTCAAGCCGCCGCCCCCGCGTTCGGCTTTTGCGCTCCTCTGCGGCCGAGAGCSGGACGCGGGGTCCGGTGGAGCGACGCTCCTCCCGAGCGCGACGGGAGCCGCTTCGCAGTGCCACCGCGCTGCAGACAATGGCCGGCCAGGCCCGCAGGGCGCCCRAGTGAGGGGAGTTGGGTTGCAGTGCGGACGCAGGTAGAGTGCCCCGCGAGGCCGGCTCCCGACTCCAGGAGCTGAGTTTTCTTTCTTTTTGCCTTTCGATGGCGAGCATTGCCTGGGCTCCCGTGCCGCCTGCTTTCCCGGTCTGGGTTCGCACCGTTAGACAGCGTTGACTTTGCTTCTGTCGAGGCCGGGAAAACTTCCTTGCCCTCGCTTCTGGGAGGCCTCCTTTCAGTGTCCGGTGAGGACGCGCCGCTGCATCGCGCCCCTGTTCACTTGTCCGCCTCTCCTCCGCGGGGGTCTGGCCCAGCCGCCGGTGTGCGGTGCCCTTTCGTCTCTTCCTTTCTCCCCCGGTTCTGCCCGAGTGTCTAACGCGTACTTGTAACAACCACAGCTAACGACCTCGTGCGTCTCCTGTGCCAGAGATGTTGTGTCGTAATAACCCTGAAATTCCACTCTGTGGATGAGGAGCGGGCCAGGAGAAGTGGCAGTTTGCACTTGCTTGCCCTGCAGGTGAACGCGGTGGGCTGGGCTGCGCGGCTTGCAGACGGGCTTGGGGTGATGCCTGGGAATTCGCGTTTCCACTCGTTACCAGGTGGTGCTGTGGACTGCTTTTCCCGGGTTTGCGCTGGGGAACCGTTCACGGTGGTGCAGAGTTAAGTGAGGTAAATCTATTCTAGATGTTTGCTCTTCCTTACTTTAAACTTAGATCTTAACCAAAAATAAGTTGAGCGGCTTACTGTAGATTGCTTGGAAAACTGGTTCAGAGTTAAAGAATTTTTTTGTTAGTCGTGATTACATTAATCTCCAGTTTAAGGAGGCGCTATGGATTTAAGTGCAGAATTAAACTAATTAACCTCCAGTTTCAAAGGGGGGTAATGGATTTAAATGCAGAATTAAATTGGAGATCTAAATAGTTGATTAATTTTCCCACTCATTTTTTATTAATTTATCCATGGTACAAGCTTTTTTTTTTTTTTTTTTTTTTTTTGGGTACTGCGGAGGGGACCCTTGAGCCTCCCCCTAAGACACTTGTTTTATTATTTTCTCCCTCCCCCTAAGACACTTGTTTTATTATTTTCTCCCTCTCACCCTCCTCAGAGTCTCAGGTCTGGGTGGCCCTGCAGAGCTTGGCCCTGACACTGGAAGTGTGAAGGGTGTACTTTGATCTTCATTCTCTATTTTTTGTCCTTCTGTCTTTCCCCGTTTCCCTCTTCACCTCTGCTGCAGTTTTTGTGTTTCTTCTTGCAGTCTGTGTCTTAGTGTCCCCTGCCTGTGTCTGGCCCTCCTTGTCTGCTCCCCCCCCCCCCCACTGCGAGTAAGTAGTCGGATACAGCCAGAGAATGTCAGAGTTGCTGGAGGACTGGCTCCGCTGTCCTGGATTCTAACTTCATTAAGAACTATATACAGGGCCCCACGCGGAGCACAGGCCTGGAATCCCAGCTGGGGGATCCCGAGTTCAAAGCCAGCCTCAGCAATTTAGGGAGGCTGCTAAGCAAGCAGCTCAGTGAGACCCTGTCTCTAATAAAATACAAAACAGGGCTTGGGATGTGGCTCAGTGGTCTAGTGGCCCTGAGTTCAATCTCCAGAACACCCCCCCCCAAAAAAAATTTGACTATATATAGGYTCTCTTTTTTGGGGGATCTTGGGACTAGACCCCATTGTGTTCCACTGCTGAGCTCATACCCAGCCCTTTAATGTTTTTTGAAATTAATTTTTGGTACTGGGGATTGAACCCAGGGGCTCTTTACCCCCAAGTTAAATACTCAGATTTTATTTATTTATTTAATTTTGAAGCAGGATCTCCCTAAGTTGCTGAGGGAGGGCCTTGATAACTGGCTGAGATTGGCCTTGAACTTGTGATCCTCCTACCTTAGCCTCCCAAATTACTTGGATTACTATGTGCCATCACATGTGGTTTGAGCCCTTTGTTTATTTTTCAGCAGTGATTTGCTTGGTTGCCCAGGCTGGCCTCGAATTTGCCATTGTCTTGCTGCTGCTGCAGCCTCCTGAAGTTGTTGGGATTATAGGCATGGTGGTGTAGGTGGCTTTCAAATAATTTTGTTCACTCAAACTGTGTTACAGGAGGCCAACGTTTACAGTAGCTATGAAAATACATGCTGGATACTTTAGCAAATTAAACTTATTGAGGAAGTAAAAATTAGTAGCCAGTAATAACTTCTAACATTGAGTACAGTGTTGATCTCTAATGAAACTCTAAGGACAAGGGCGTAGTTCTTCATGGGCTTCTCCCTTTGTGAATATGACATCATGTGTACAGTGGCTAAGGAGAACATTTCTGTTGTTGTGGTGGTGGGGACTGAACCCAGGGCATCACAGATGGTAGGCAAGTGTTCAAACACTGAACTATATTCTCAGCCCTGAAATATTTTTTTTAAATTTAGTTGTAGGGCTGGGGATGTGGCTCAAGCGGTAGCGCGCTTGCCTGGCATGCGTGCGGCCCGGATTCGATCCTCAGCACCATATACAAACAAAGATGTTATGTCCTCGGAAAACTAAAAAATAAATATTAAAATTCTCAAAAAAAAAATTTAGTTGTAGATGAACACACAGTATCTTTATTTTTGTGGTGCTGAGGATTGAACCCAGTGCCTCACACATTCAAAACAAGCACTTTGTCACTGAGTTACAGTCTCAGCCCTCTGAAATTATTTTTGAAAGAAGCACAGTATGTGAACATAGTAGGGTATAATTGAGGAAGCAGAGAGTAGTGGAGTGTGATCCTATTTAGAGTAGCTAGTTGAAATGACATCTGGTTAGTTAGGTTAGAGCTGATATATTTGTATAATGGGGACTAATCATGTCTATTTTGTAAATAGTGAATTTACAATCGAAAACTAGCTTTCTGGAGCTAGTTGCCTAACACATAAGTTCACTCCTATTTTTATCTTACGCTGTCATAAGTCTTAAAGGTAGTGCCTTCTTTCTCCATTGGGAATCTTCATATATTTGAAATAGAAATTAGAGTAAGGGAGTTAGGAATAATTGAAGATTTTTTTGCCTTAATTAAGGAAGTAAGAAAAGTTACCTTATTTGTGATCAGGCCCCACTGTTTTATTAGAAATTTGACAGTTTTGGGCTGGGGATGTGACTCAAGTGGTAGCACTCGACTAGCAAGCGTGAGGCACTGGGTTCGAATCTCGGCACTACATAAAAACAAAATGAAGGGCTGGGGATGTGGCTCAAGGAGTATCGCGCTCGCCTGGCATGCATGCGGTCTGGGTTTGATCCTCAGTACCATATACAAATAAAGATGTTGTGTCTGCCGAAAACTAAAAAATAAAATAAAAAACAACAAAGTGAAGATATTGTGTCCACTTATAACTGAAAAACAATACTAAAAAAAGAAATTTGGGGCTGGAGTTGTGGCTCAGCGGTAGAGCGCCCGCCTCGCTCATGTGCGACCCTGGGTTCGATCCTCAGCACCGCATAAATATAAATAAAATAAAGATATTGTGCCCACGTATAACTAAGAAAATATATATATATAAAGAAATTTGATAGTTTGATTAATGAAACTGAGAAAATGTTGCTTAATACATTGTTGTAAATAACTTGCTCTATGTGGGTACAGGCCTTACTATTTACTCTCATGTAAATGTGAATAGAGCTTATCTATAGATTGTTCTCAGATCAAAAGTTGTTTTCAATGAGAAAATGAAATATTGGAACTGAACTAGAATGAATAACTGCTCTTGGTTGTAGACTTTTGTAAATTGGTACTGGGGATTGATTCATTGAGCTATATCCCCAGCCCTTTTTAAAAAATTTGAGACAGGGTCTCACTAAGTTGCTGAGGATCTCCCTAAATTGGTGAGAGTGGCCTTGAAATTGTGATATTCTTGCCTCAGCTTCCCAGATCGTTGGGATCACAGGTGTGTATCACCAGGCTGTCTTAGTCTTTTTACTTTATTTTTTGCCATGCCTGGGAATGGAACCCAGGGTTTTGCACACACTAGGCAAGCACTCTACCACTGAGCTACAACCCCCACTCTGGTCTTAAGACT